AAATGGCCGATGTCAGACTTGCGATTGGAGCGATTTTGCACACAATTGGCAGGAGCGACGGGAGATTTACACCGGCCGACCACCGATAATTCGGCGCCATCAGCTCGTAAATCTCCCGTCGCTCGCAGCTCCCTGCCACAACGGCCAAGGAGGCACATCACGGCCCGAGCGATGGATCGCTTGAGCGATCCGTCGCTCCAAAGTGCGAGCGACGGGAGATTTACCCGAGCGGCGCCGTGTGTATCGGTGGTCGGCGGTGTAAATCTCCCGTCGCTCCTGCAATTGGTGCAAATCGCTCCAATCGCAAAGTCTGACATTGGCCAGTTCTTGAAACTCACAGAAAACATCCGGAAAAAATTCGAAATGTCGGACAAATTTTCCGCAAACGTGGGTAAAATATGTAGGCATTGTAAATAGGTTACCTGACTTGGCACGGTGAGTCACTTTAGGACAAGCAGTGAACAGATGGTCTGCTGCTCCACAACCATAACATACCTAGAAAGACCTGGATTTCGGTCGAATTTAGTTCGTTCAAAGGGATTCATAACCACAAGTACTTCCCCTGGAACCACTGTTCCAAAGCGACCTGAATGGTTGCATCGAAATTCAAAGAAATGAGCTGCTCCACCACTTTATTCTTGATATGCAAACTTCACTTGAACTGAAGTAGAATCAAGGAATAGACCCGGTGATATAGATAGTTACATTTGAATGTATGGAAGCTCAAGGGGATTGCCTGATGCGCGGCATAGCGTTCTCAAAGTGCTATATTGATGATTCGATATGAGGTCCAAAGAAGAAAGAATGGAGCGACTGACGGTTCGGGTGACGCCCCTATTGGAAACCCTGCTCATGAAAATCAGACGGATAAAACCAGATTTTGAATGGCGGAGCGCACAATGGATTTTTTCGATTTTTAGCTCTTGCGCTCAACCAATGTGGGGCAAAGAAGGTAGGGTGGTCAAGGAACTTTCTTGCGTATCTAAGTTACTTACAGATTACAAGTCCTGGATAGAACTGGAGACTGTAGCAATAATGTTCTCCGCCAAAAGTTCGAGTGGATTTGTATGCTGACCTTGAAGTCAAAAGTGTCGTCCTTTGACAAACACTATAGAGAACTGCACGAAATGGACCATGAAGAGTCAGGTAAATTCACATGGATGATCACTATGGCTACGGATTTCAAGGCGCGCATCTTTGGCGACTATAACCACGAAACTTGTATATCGCCATTTCCTCAGCGATCACATTTACAATTGAAAGCAATATACAACTACAAAAGGCATCATTCTCTGTCAATTATTCGCCTGACTGCAGACGTGTGACCACAACTGCCTTGGTCAATTGGTGGCGAGAGTCAGCAGCAAGCGCTACTACAAATTCTTGATCGTTGAAACGAACGCCAACAGCATCTTATCTGAATATGTTAAAAAGAAGGAAGCTGCTCGGTGCCCAATGCTTCCTGAGTTGATATTGAAATTAGTGAAGGCCAAAAATCCTGGTGTACAGATTTGTCTTGAAAGGGATGGGGAATGGGGACTTCTGAAAATTTTCCCGATAGTCACCTGCTTTCTGCGGCAACGTTCATGACCTACTTTTCTTTGTTCTCTTTTTGTATTGCAGTTGAATAATATTAAGGTGAACATTTTCGATGATGTACTTAACCGAAGGTTCCGAAAAAGGAGATTGAAGCCGAGATGTTAATTGTTTAAAGGTTGTATAAATCTGGGTAATTTAGAAGACATTCAAAACCATAAACTAGTACCTTTTCATCGGCCTCCACCTTTCTGCATCGTTGGGCCATATGGTTTCCAAATCTTCCGCACTTATAGCATCTGAACAATGTGTTTTCACCTTTTCAGTATTTGTATTCACTATCAATCAAAGCATATACCCAAAAAAGTAAAATTTCACAGTTCATCAACTATTTCCAGTACTTCTCAATCCCCCACTTGTGCTTCCAAAACCTCTGTACCGTAGAGTTCATGTTTTCTTCTACCAACAGGTTATCAGGTAGAACATTATTAATGTCGGTCCATAATGAGACCTACTAAACAACTCGGCAGAACACACTGAATTTAATGTTCCACTGCTCCCCCTTCTCATTCTATTTCACTAACACGATGTGAACTTTTTCTGCTTCTGTCGTGTATTTTGTTTTCTTGAATCCCCGCTTTACTCTTATAACAAAAGCAAACAAATGTGAGTAACCTCAGTGATCACGGGCTCGCAGATACTTTATGCATTGCCGGAAATAATGAGTAGTACAAAATGGGTAGTTTCGCAGGGAACGGAAAGCTCAATGGCCGTCGGAGAAGTGGGGTCTATTTCATGACGTTTAAAGGCAAAACATCAAGTTGATAAGGAAACAAACTCGCCCCGCTCTTTTCTGACTTTCAGTTTATACCTATTCTGAGGAGGCAGGATGTGTACAATGGAAACCTGCTCCCCTCCCTCGTCCTTCCAACTTATATACTTATACAACGGTACTGCTACAAGACTTAAATATCTGTGATATCGCTAAATAGGACCAAAAATACTTCCTCTTCTCAATCTTTCTTTGGAACAATAAACTTGCTGATAAAGAACACAGAAAATGAAGAATACATTCAGGAAAACTTCAGTAGTTACCTTATCAAACGATCTTTTTTCGCACCCAACGGACGAATACTGCTTCCAATTAAAGTTTTGTTTTCGTCTTCCGGTCCAACCTGTAGCAGCGATATTATGATACAAGATTGAGCGCCATATCGAAGTGAAAATCCATTGCGGAGTCAAACACGATTACCTCCCAAGCTTCGAGTGCACCTGCACGTTGTCCACTATTCGGGTACGCACAAGAAGACCAACACGCTCTCCCTCCTCCAAACTCTGAAGCCCTCCATCTTCAACTCTGACTAAAAAGAAAGGTGATAGCTGTTTGGTACTGTGCAATGAACAAGATTTTATAGGGGATCCACTTAATGTGCTTGTTTTTAATGAGATCCAAGGACCAAAACGGCCGGTTTTCGTAAGGTGGTGCGAAGAGAAATACGATATTCCAATGCCTCTACAACTCGACAAAAGACATGCGCTTGGCGAACCTCAGAGAGAGTTGCTTGACTACACCCTCAAATTCCAAGCTACTGCAACTAAAAAGAATGTTTCAGGGGAATCCTGAAAATCTACAATCGAATTGTAGTGGACGCAAAGGCAATGATATGGATTACTTGTCGATGCTCAATTTTTTTGAAAGCATCATTTCATTAGCATCATCTTTCAGAATAAATTTAATCCTGTTGAGGTAAGTAGTTTTCTAGCTTCCTAAATGACTCAAAGATTTTCGGAAAAAAAGAGAAAAGTTCCGAGAAGGTCGTAAACATCCTTTAAAAACTCGAAAATTGAGAAAATAAATTAACCTAGGAAACCATTTTTTGAAATTTTGCTTTACAAACAAATTCCAGTATTTCGCTGGGAGCCGAAAATCTGCAGTTCTGATGAAAATTATTATTTTCTGCGAAAACAATCTTGAAAAAAAAGTTATGATTATTTGAAGACAAAAACTGGCGTTTCCAAAAAGCCTGCGAGGCCCAAAAATTCATCAAAAGGGGACTGCTCAGATCAGTTCCCGAAAAAAGATCCAGTACTTATTAAAAAGCAGAGTGTCAGAAACTACGATAGTTCAAAGGAAAATTCCTAATTTCTGCGAATTTATTCGAAAGTCTTATATGTTTACTTTACAACAGGAGTTTTCAGAAGTGAAAGCAATCTTAGTTATTTTAGAGACGAAAAAAACATGTGCATTCCAAATACAAATTCTTTCAAAAAGTGAAAAGTGAAAAGAAAAGTGTTCTTCCACAATAGCACGTTTGTGCCTCCCCTCGCCGTCGCCAGAAACACAACAGCTTCTTCGTCCACCCTTACTATAAACATGCGATCATGTTTCGCACATTCTCCACCATCAGCTTTCCGTCTTGAAAAGATTGGAAGGCTATCGTGCGAAGAGCCTCCTCCAGAAGGTAAAAAGGAGCTCGAGATTTACCAACGCCACGCTTGACCCTGGGTGGAAGTGAGCACAACCGGATGCCTAGAGGTTACACAATAAAAAGAGAAGTCTTGGCGTTACCGGGCTAACTGATCTATAATATGCACCTCTATAGCTCACACTCCAAAGACAAGCTAATTCGTAATAGAGTTACACCAGTTTCAGTAATTCATTCATTTTTGTTGATTCCAAGGATTTTCTAACTAGAATTCAGTCTCGTACACAGAACATTTCTGGTAAAGTCGTTCCCGTTGTGCCCCTCAATTTGGGCTCGCTAAGTTGGGTAGCTACAATACCACGCCTTGTTTCAGCCAATTTTCTCGAATAAGACATCCTAGTGCTATTTCTGTTTCTCCAATTTACGTGTTATCACACAGCATACATTCAAACTGACAAACATGAAAGCTGATTATATTAGGTTGAGCTATAATTATCCACCGTTTTTTCAGGCTCATGATTCTTTGTTTTTACTGATTTCGAAGGTTTATTGTCGTCTGAAAGCGCTCAATCTCTTGTACTTCTTGATGTACAACACTGGTGTATTTACTTCACTATCGAGTTCACACACTAGCAAAAAAGATAGCCTTGCTATATGAGTGCAATTGGCCTTCGAAGCCGAATGATTCTGCATCTGCTTGTAGAAGCAATGAAGCCTGGGACGAAGGCACGATTGCAGAGATGACCGTTCGCGAGCGTTTGTTGATTACACATTTATTTTTGTTTGGTTTTGTTAATAAACTTGTGAGTGAAATAAAAATGACGGATATTGTTGTCTCAACATAATACTACTACAATCTAAAATGGGAGTACTCACTTGATGCACGAATACATCTTCTTTAGTGTCATCCAAAACAATGAACCCAAAACCTTTGAGGACATTGAACCATTTACAGGATCCCGTCTTCCGTTCCTGAAAGCGTGATCAAGATGTACTACGGTATGACAAGACATTGCAAAGAAATTAATAAAAGAGCTCTTTGACTAAATGTTTTCAAACTGTTGAGCGCTATGTCTAGCCGCGATTGCCATGCGCAAGTTCTCGCAAGGTGCTGCATTATGAGCAAACTTTTTCGCGTCAGGCGGGAATCTCTCGCATCCCAAGCTAGCATGTGTGACCGCTTTTACCACTGGAAGCATTTGAATCGAGATAAGCGAAATTACTGTAGTTTGTGAATTGTCATTTTATTATACGTTGATACTCAACAAATCGGAATTTTACGTATCTTATTTATTATAACTTCGTATAATGTATGCTATGCGAAGTTATTACGCAAAACTATCCGTTACCCATTGAAAAGTTACAGAAGAAAAAGTGTAACCGAAGACTTCTAGCCTTGTCCTTCTGCGGACGTGCCCACTTCGCGGCTCAGGTTCACGGCAAATGCATTGGGGCCATATGCTGTTCAAGTAACTCCACCTTTCGCAAGGGAGTTCGCCTTGAAATCGACACTTGGGTAGTGCCTGCTCGTTTCTGTAACCCCTCCCCTTGGCCGTCTGACCCCTCAATGCAGCGCAGGGTTTCTTCACTGTAAGCCCGTATAAAGCTCAAAAAGAACCAGGTGCTAACTTAGTTGGGGGGGGCCACGCGGCGGCGCGGCAGTCTGCTCGCCTGGCATGTTCGGAAATCCGTGGGCCAGGGGGAGTGTAGGCAGTCTAGGGGGTGGGGGTGGGGGCAGTCACTTGACATGCGTGAAAAGCTGGAATGTTCGAGTTTACACTGTCTCGCTCGAGAGAGCCCAGGTGAGCAGACTGCCGCGCCGCCGCGTGGCCCCCCCCAACTAAGTTAGCACCAAAAACATTAAAAAGGCTTCATTTAGAGCGACCTGAGGCTTCTTCAAATTTAAGAGCGCGAACCAGCGACTTAATGCCGGTCACTTTTCTTTTCGAGCCCCCACGGTTGTTCACGGACTTCTTCAACTTTCTTCTCTAGTCCTGCCACGAATGGCGGGAAACATAGACGTTCAGAGAACGGCGCCTGACTCGCTCCAAATTCCAAGAAAGGGAACCCCTAGACTAAGCCTTGTAGAGGGACTCGAGGTGGGTGAACCAACTACAAAGTGGCGAAAGTTTGAATGTGTGAGATCACAGAGGTCATAAACCACTGATAAGGCGAGAGTGCAGACGAGAGCATCGAGTTAAGGCAGCAAAGGACCGAGTTCAAGTGGCCCGTCCACCAACCACTACCCCTTCTGCAGTATAGAAGTGTACCTTGCAAAACAAGACGCAGCTTTGAGAAAGACTTACTGGTTTTCCATCATCATTCTTGTCATGAGACTCATCTACTTTGTTATCAGAATCTTCATGTGTTTTGGTTTACCATTCTGCTTATGCGATTGATCTGCATCTTCATTGGTTCCGAGGCAGTCATGATTGGAGGAGGTGGCGGAGTACAATTGTGGCTGAAACCGAAACTAAATGTTCCTAGAGGACATAACATGAAAGACGTAAAACTATTGGCAATGAGAATACTCCTTATCAAATGTGAGCTGCAGAACATTGGAAAATTTGGTTGACCAATCAAAACTTAAGATGGCATACAGAGGCAATCTCACGAACAGCAACCGTGAGGAACAGCAATCACAAAAGAGGCGGTTAGAAAGGTCGATTACATAGATGAGAGGAGTGAATAGCGAGCTCAGAAAAAGACCGTATTCAACTTGAAAAACTTGAGCATAATTCCTATTTGGGAAAGCGCCATTCGTTAACTAGACTTGTACAAGCAAGCAAAACAAACAGTTGAAATTGGAAATTGACAGGACGAGGAAGACGAAATCACATGTGACTTGTGCATTTACGACGATCGCGGCCCCCAGTCGGTACCGTCTCCGGCGCGGTCTCAGGACAACCGTGAGCCTTGGCGGTTCACCGTTTTGTAGTGGCGTCTGGAAGCTCTCACAAGTGCATACTATCACAGCATCTTCTCTTTCTTTATCTTCTTCAAAAAGGCTTAGTCCCAATAAGACGCAAAGTGTGTGCTTTTCCAGCTACGCTCTCACCCTCTTGGCCCACAGAAGCCAGTTAAAAACACGATCTAGGGCCTATAGGGAGATTGTGCGTCTCAGGACAGGGTGAATATCGGTCGAGGAAATCCTCGACAGGGGGGTCGTACCTGTCGGGCTGGTCATGGGGGGTCGTACTCTTGGGGGTCAGTAACAGCAGTGGTATCGTGGTGCAGATAGGTAAGAGGGTATAGCGCAGCAGAAAATGAAAATATCTGAAAAAAAAAACATGATATTAAATTTTCTTTGCAGGTTCAGTCGCTCCATTCCTCCACCTTCATGAGAAGGGGCGTATTTGAAGGCAGTACAAAGAATGAAAGTGCATCCCCGCAAAGAAGACTGCCACATGTGCGCACGCGCTGCAAAGGCACCTCCTCTGCCTATCGCTCGCTCCTTCTCCCTTAATACCTCGCTGAGAATGACACTGTTGTTAGGGACCCTGTCGCAAACGACAACCGTGAAGGAAAAGCCCTGGCAAATGAAGTTGTTCTTTAGGTTGTAGGAGTTACGAAATGCGTTTACTACAATGCAGCTTCTGTCAACTGGTCATGATCATATGACACCTTCGAATCGATTCTGCAACTTCGAGTGAGGTCGGATGCATGGCCTATACTCAGACAAAATTCGATGATGACGATTGCCCCTTTTCCTATTGCTTATGTTGGGAGGATGTTTTCTAGACCCATTTCAAGCGTTGCCAACAATTACACTTGCAATGAAGAAGGGAGCGGATTTTCAGGTGGCCGGATCCGTCCTCGATACATACTCGACGCAGATATCTTCTCAACTAGGAAATGTAGAAGAAAGCTAAGAAGACCATCAGAAAGCGCAAACCTTCCGCTTTCCAAAACTATCTTCCTTTTTCAGGATCTCACGTTTTAAGAGAGATATTGCTCTTGAAGTGGCAAAAACTCGCGTTTCTTGAACGAACCTGACTTTGAGGTCACACAAAGTTAATGCCTCTTTCCTCGAGTCGATATTTCAGTAAATACACAAAAGTGTGCAGCGATGAAAGACAGTGCACAGATGACAAGATGAGGCGTCCATAACATTATTTGCAGAATTTTTTTGATTTGTTTTGCAGGATTTATTTTAATTGAATTAATTTGCTCTGTTAGGGGGGTCGTGCCAGGATCTCGATTTCGGGGGGGGGGGTCGTACCTCTGCGACCACGTACTCGACACGATTTTCACCCTGTTCCATGGATCACACCAGCCTTATTGTTAGATACATAACCTCGCCTTCAAATGACCAGAAATTGTGCAATTGCAGAAATTGACGTGGCGCACTGGCACACGTGGCTAAATTCTCGATGAAAAGGTGACATCACGTGCTCAAAGATGTTCTTGAATCGATGCCACGTTAATGCCACGTCAATTTCTGCAATTGCACAATTTCTGGTCAATTGAAGGTGTAAGCCGCGCCATGCAAGCGCGCGTCTTTATGTTTTGGTGTGACTCATCCTATGCTTTCAGGGCGTGGCGATGCGACCGAAGGAGCTATCGAGGAGTCGACCGCCGAAGCGAGCCGAGGACTGCAGCCTAGGTTCTTGAGCTTCTTTCCATCGTCGGGGCGACGCCCTAGCCTACCCAGACCAGCTTGTGATACCTTGTTGTGCCTTGTTTGTTCATTATCTCACTCTGTCTACCGGTTATCTTCCTGCAACTCCTATCGTTTGCTGTGGTTCTGTTATTACTTAATGTTTTCCGCATTTATTGTTCTTTGATGTCATTAGGATAAATGCTTAGTGAATACAAGGCCTAAGGCAGAAGCATGGCGCACCTTCTCTGCGCGCGCGAGCTTACTGACAGTTCCGATACCGATCGCCAACTTGTTGCGGTCGGTTATTTCAGTAAAGCTCTTTCAGAATCCCAGCAAAAGTGGAGCCCCACTTATATTGAGCTATTCGCCATAATAAGCGCTTTACGCTTTTTCAGAACCACGATTTACGGCAATCACACCACAATATTTTCAGATCACCGCCCGCTTACTTTTCTGCTCAAGCATAACAAAACCCACGATAACCTTACGCGATGGGTCGTCGAACTGCAGAGTTACGATGTCACGATCGAATACCTCAAAGGTTCTTCGAATGTGGTGGCGGACGCTCTGTCACGAGCAGTGAACCCCCATGTTCGATTCCGGGACGATACGCCAGAAACGGACGATATAGTGGAATTCCCCGTTAGCATTAACAAAGCTTCTCCAGCCATCTATTCCGTGCGCCCCACCGTCTGTTGTCTCGGTCCGCTGCATGCAATTCGACCGTACGATGCTCTTCAGGAGCAGAAACAGGATCGATTTTGTTCGGCGCTCCTTTCTTTCATTGAAACCCAGCGCTTCCCTCCCGAAATTACCGAGGATGAGCGGAGGACATGGCTAGCTATCGCTGAGAAATGCGTCATAAGGAAGAACGGTTGTCTTTATTATAACGACCGTCAGATGGCCACCAATCCATTCCGTTTCGAGCGATTAGTCGTTCCGGAGAAACTTAGGGAACCAGTTTTTTTGGCATTCCATACTAGCCCATCCTCGGGTGGCCATTTCAACTGGCGCAAAACACTAGCCAAAATTTCACGCAAGTATTTTTGGCCTCATATGGCCGAGGATATCTTCACGTTAGTGCGCACCTGCGACCCATGCCAACGGAAAGCGTCCAAATATTAGCCAACCAGGAAGCACTAATACCAGTAGTCAGCGGAGCCATTTTCGATAAGGTTTACGTAGACCTTACAGGCCCGCTCCACACCTCGGAAGCCGGTAATAAGTACATCTTGGCCATGATTGACCACTTTTCTAAGTACGTCATTGCCGCACCGCTCCCTGACTGCACGGCGATTACGGTAGCGCAAGCCATCGTTTCGGAGTGCATTTTGAAATTTGGTGTTATGACTCAACTCATTTCAGATAATGCCTCTTATTTCAAAGGCGAGGTGATGACCGAAATAGGACGTTTCCTACGGATTCACAGGTATTTTTGCACACCGTACCACCATGAGGGAAATGGTGCCTGCGAACGCATTTTCGCTACTTTTCATCCTATGTTGCGAACTTATATTAATGAGAACCAGTTGGACTGGGACAAATACGTGAGTGCGTGTGCCTTTATGTATAACACCTCGGTTCACACCAGCACTAACAACACCCCTTTTTTCCTCATGTTCGGACGCGACCCAGTTTTCAACATAGACTTGCTCATCAGGCATGATCTCGCCCGTCATTTTCCATCCTTTGAGGATTCCGGACTCTATGTTCAAAATTTGGTCGCGACCCTACACGCCGCATGGCGATCGGCAGCCCAACATAAGACGCGCAGGTGAAAAGTTCAAGGACAGTACGATCAATCCCACCTGGCCCCCCTCTCTATCAAACTAGGTGATCGGGTATACCTCCGCGACTTGGCACCCAAAGTGGGCCTCTCTCAAAAACTTTGCTACCCGTGGTTAGGACAATTCCGTGTCATCAAAGTGGACCCTCCCCACTTAACCATCGTTAGCATTTCTTCGCCCCAATCTTCTCCTAAAAAGGTCCATATGAACCAGGTTAAACCCTGTCATCTACTGTCGGGGCCGGTCTTTACCACACCGTGGATCCCCGACATCGAACAAGTGGCTCTCACAGCGGCGGACGCTTCCGACGAACCTATAGTGGGTCACTCCCATACGGCGATTGAGCATTTGACACCGGACACCTCGGCAATTCACCCAATCCGCCAACCCATCCCTATAACACTCGTTTCAGGTCGCGAAGAACTTCACTTTGACCGGTTGGTCAGAAACCACGAACATTTTTTTCTAATGCTTGCTGTTCTCACAGCTCTAACTTTTTCTTCCCTTTCTCCGCTGGTTCGAGGCGAGCTTCTTTGTTTACATGCTACGCCGCGCCGATCATGCACCATCAAATGCCATGATCTCGCGTGCTTTGTGTTTTTGTTCTAGGATGGTACGCCCATCCATGTTGCTTCGCTAACATTTCAATTCTTGCTTCTTCCACTTGAGGTTTGGTTTCTTTTTCACCTTTTCACTTCTCACTCCCTATAGTTTCTTAGGCGTTGAATTCTTACCTAAGTTTTCCTCAGTATTAATTATTCTATTGACTGCATTTTCTTTCATTCACACAGTAGTGATAAGTTGCTTTTCGCCTCATGTCCTTTTGACGATTTAGTTCTCCGCACTGCGTTTTCTCGGATATCTGCCTTCACCCTATTCTCTTCAGTACCCTTTTTCCAGGTAATTCTTTGAACCCGCCAAGTGTTCTTTGCGATTTCGCGCTCTGATAATGGACGACGGGCGCACTTCGTTAACCCTCGCCCCATCCATCACCTCCGGGAGCACCTACCCAGGGTCGTCACAACCCTGGACACCAAAGTGTACCGTCACTTGCCGGATTCCGGGTATATGTCCGCGCGGTTTAATAAATCGCTATTCCCGCAAGGTGGTTTTTAAGGAGGGCAGTCTTCCGCTTGAAATACCCTTCATTGAGGTACAGCATTTGGAAGACACCATTGCCTTCCGCGCGAGGTCCAAGCAAATAATTGATCAACTGTTTGCAGGTACCTATGAGAACCGGGATGTCGCCGACGTGAAGCCGTCTCCTCACAGGGATAACCACTACGTAACCGCGCCCCCGGTATACGAAGGGCTACACCCGGTTCTTTACCAGGTCGTAGCTACCGGCTGGGGCACTGGAGTCGTCCTTGAAGCCAAGGATTTCTTCGTTATGGGACCAGATCGACGCGATCTGCACTGCATTACCCTTGAC